CACCTATAGCTTGCTAAATCAGGTTCGCTGAGAAATTCCCGCAACAACATCCCATCGGTCATATATTTTAGAACAGTCTTCTCAGAGGTACAATCTTCAAACCTGACAGAATAGCCAACCTGCCAATAAATAGCATACCAAAACCAATCATAGATTTAAGTTATCAGCTTATCAATCAAAAAAGGAGAAGTTAAGATGGTGTTACAAACCTCATGACCAAGTTTAACACCCATTTCCTGTGACACACGTGCCGCAACACTCATTGCAGCCACACGACGCGGTTGGGTGCATCCAACCTAAGTTGTTTAGCATGCCAGAAAAAGTCAACTTTCAAAACTTTATGCTGCTTACTAAAGAAATCATGAAAAGAAGAGGAATGCCAATGAAATTCAATTGTTTCAAACCCTCTCTTTGAGATGGAGTGGTAAACACGAAAATTAATTAGAAAATATTAATTAATTAATACTGAAATAAATCTAAAGGTTAATTGATCTAAATAGAAATTTTAAAAATCGACTCACTGACCTTCTCAGACTCTGCTCTCGTTTTTAAAATAGATGATCAGTTAAGCATGATGGCAACTCAAGCTATTCAAATAGTTATTTTAACACAAATTTAATTAATTTTAGGGGTGTACATACCAACCACTCAAAAACATTGAATATAACATGTTAACCACCCAAATTTTAAATATAACATTTTAACCACCCAAAACTTTCATCCAAAGCCTTCACTTGTAGATAAAGGAGGGTGGTTGTAATGAAAAAGGTGGTTAAAATGCTATATTTAAAGTTTAGGTGGTTAAAATTACCTATTCAATGTTTTGAGTGGTTGGTATGTAAAATCCCTAATTTTATTATCATATTCACAAAATCTAAGATAATGTTTTACTATTGCATGAAATGCATGAGTTATAATATTGTTATGTGTATTAAAAAATTCACATCGTGCTTATAAGATAAACTTGAGTAGCATGTTATTATAACAAACAACACAAAAATTAATAATATGCTTAGTGACAACGACAGAAGAAGCAAGTAGAATTCTATAATCAAAATAATATTGCATATTGAAAAGTGTAAGTGTCTGAGCTAATAACGAGATTTAAAAGCGCTGTAGTTCATGGCCAAATTATCTATTTATGGTAGAAACATCAACCTTCAACTTTTACAATATTTGTGAAATGCCATTCAATTTAGGAAATGAAAATGACAACCAATGGCGAGAAGGTTGAATGAAAAAAAATCATCTTCAAATGCTAAATTTCATTATAAAATACCTTCTTCCCATCCTTCGTATACCCAGCTTCATGAAGATATTGTGGCAACTGTGTAGTCTTTCCGGAGCCAGTTTCTCCAACAATAACAAGTATCTACACGATAAAGAAGGTAAGCTATTCCGACAAATTTGATAATGAGAGTAACATCAATTCAAAAGAAATCATGATCCAAAATGTGAATCATAACAATTCAAACTAACAAAAAACTATTATTCAACATTAATATAAGAAACAAAAGCAGTTTCCTCCTCAGCTTTAAATATCCATAAAAGCACGCAGACCAAAAAAGAATACTAAAACAGCATAAGGAACTCTTTTGCAAATGTAACAGAGAATTTTACAAGTACCACATAAAATTATTACAGCCTATGTTAAGCATCAATATTATTTGGTTGGATGAAAAAGAGATTAACTGTAAATATGGATCCTTGTGAGGTTTTGAGCAAAATATTTCTTGTGATTAATTAAGGCTCTGGTGAGTTTGTAGGGTATGTTGAAAAAAATAGGTGTTGAAAGATATATAAATATTCTTTTCGAAAACTTCGCAAACAACATTTTATTTACAGGCTACTGATGGAAATACTATGTGCAGCAATCGACCTAATTTAGGATGCCTCATCAAGTAGCCCCACAATACTAATTGGGTAAAAAATATATTTTCGTTTTACACGAAGTTTACACCATCCAATATGAACAAGGCTTTTTCTCAAGGCTTTTGCAACACTTTTCCTTGGATGTAGAGAGGATATTACCACACTTTCAAGTATGACATTGTTGTTGATGCATTTAACATGATCCACTGAATTTGCAAAATATTTTACATAAACTGTCTGCAATTAGAATATTGTATATTGAGTTTGTGAAAATAGCATTATTACATCATTACTACATATTTTACTATTTTTTTATTTATTATATCATCTTATTCAACCCCAATTAAACTGTTGAATCTTGAACCTCTCATTAAATTTCAAAGTCTGGTTCAATTTTCACAACCATGGCAACTACAACACCAAGATCATATGTTCTAATATTTAAAGCTTCATTAAAAAATATGGAATTCTTCATAGTCAGAGAAGATAATGTAAAACACATTTTAGAAATAATTAAGTGTTTTACAGAGTTTAAATAGTTTCTAAATACACACCACCCAAGTACAATATTTTTACATTTCAAACACCTAAACTTTATTTTTACATTTACATCACCCAAATTTTTAATATCAAATAAGAAAACCACTATTTTAACTTTTAATAAAATACACCTATTCATGCATTAGCTAAGAGGCATACATGAAAAATTTGAAGTTAGGTGTTAGGTATGTAAATACATAGAAATTGATCGATATGCATCTAACTCTTCCATTAATAGAAATTGATCGATATGCATCTAACTCTTCCATTAATTCATCATCATCATCATCATCATCATCATTATTATTACTATATTCATTTTCCAAAATATTGCGTCGTTAATTCTTAATAATGTCATGTTTATTATTATTATTATTATTATTATTATTATATTCATTTTCCAAAATGTTGCGTCATTAATTCTTAAGAATGTCATGTCGTATTTTTGGGAGCGATACGCCAGGGATCCCATGATCACATTTTCAGGGAATTCCACGATTCACAGGTTTCAAAGGCCTGTGCACATTTTCAAGGAATTCCACGATTCGCAGGTTTCAAAGGACTGTGGAAATTTGAACCGTGCACCAGCTTCCAATTTAGCTTGTTTTTTTTTTCATTTTATTTCTTATTTCTCTACTTATAAATAGGTAATTTTCTGAAGAAACTATTTATATCTTCTTATTTCCTATTTTTTCAAACTTTCGGCTTTCTTTTGTGTTTTAGAGATAGCATCTCTGATTTCTACCCTAAAAAGTGATGTATCTTTTTCCTTTAGCAAATAGTATGTTTGAAGCTTGTGCAGGAATATATGGTAAATCTCCTCAGCATCCATATTGCATCATTTCATGGGCCTCTTTGCTGTTTTCAACCAGAACAACCGACGGTCAATGCTGAATCTGTTGTTCAACAACAAATATCGCCTCATACCCCTCCCATAAAACGTCGATATCCCACGGTTTCACTTTCATGCTATTCCTCAATCCCTGCCCCACTAAATTCCTTTCCCAAACATCTTCTAGGAGATCTAGAACAGTATCATCAGGTGTCAAAGCCCAACAATCACAATTTTTTAGGATTTTGTATTCTCTGCTCCCAAACCAAAACTCCACATAACTAAACACAATACCTCAAAAAAAATTCCCACAACACCCGTCGAGCCCTAACCCTAACCCTAAATTACATTTTCCTTTTCCAACCAAACTTCCATTGAAAAAAAAGACATCATTCCATTTTTGAGAGAAGATAACATGGTGAGATAACCCATAGCCACTAACTCATCAGATCGAGAGAATTAAGTGAATCTATTATACCAAGAAGCTTCATTAGGAGAAGAGTTGATGCCTCATACATTTGACATGAAATATCAAAGGAAAATCCAAGATATTGGCGTGAAGATTGACTTGTTGGAGTTTGACAGTCACTTGAATCCATATGAGTTCATCGAGTGACATCAAACAATGGAATGAGTCTTTGACTACAAGAATGTTCTGCCTGAAAGAAGAGTAAAACTAACCATTATTAAGTTAAAAGATAATGCCTCCTTGAGATGGGAGAACCTCAAACATATTCTGCAACGAAAAAATAATAATAAGATCACGACTTGGTCTAAGATAAAAAAAGAGGTGCGACATAAATAATTTTCCCCATATTATCGCGAGGAAAAGTTTACAAAGCTCCACAATCTATGCAAGAGATACTTTTTGACGAGTACATAGCTCAATTTGATCAACTCAAGTTGAAATGTGAGTTGGTGGAAACAAAGTAGCACACAGTGGGAGATATCTTAGAGAGCTGGCGCGAGCTATCAGTAATGTGGCGTAACTATAACTGTATTAATCCAACTCAATGTTCAGGCCCTAGCTTTGAAGTTGGAGAAACACCAATGGAGCACCCAAACTGATCCTGCTTGAGAATAAATCAATTCAGAATAGAGAAAATTTGGAGCCCACTAGCACTCCCAAATCTATCACAGCCAGAAAGTGCTTCAAATATTACGATTTTGGGCACATTGCATTAAAATTCCCAATTAGGAGAATAGTTTATTGAGCAAGAAAATAAATAAAGAAATAAATGGGCAGTGACACAGCAGAGAATAAAGACATTAGATATGAGTATAGGCTTCCAGTCGACAAGGGAGCGATGCTAGTACTTCGACGGATCCTTCAAGCTAAGCCCATTAGAAAAACACCAGCATGACTCACATTGGTTCTTCTAGAATATAGTAAGTCTGAGGAGCTAATACGAGAAACGGGGCACTCATCGCTGAAGAAGTTTCTGGACATCCTGACTGATAGTTTATCTCTTAAGTGATCGCGACTCAGAGTGGTCCAGACTGTCATAAGCTTCACTCGAGGGTCGGTTCTTCTAGACAGACTTGCTATTGAGATGTGCTCAACCAGTTAGCAGAAAAATATATACAAATTTAATGGTTCAAGTTTTGATTGGTAAAAATACTCATCTATGTACAATTCTAACTCTGGTTGTGGCCAAAAATGAAAATTATCTATTCTATCAAGACAAACTTTAGAAGGAAGTACGTGTTTCAGAGTTATCTTAGATAAATAAGCATAAACTTCGTAGTGGGGCTCCCTCAAAAATAGCAGTGCAATGACCTTGTTATGGTGGTAGATAGATTTCAGAAGCTTCCGAAAAAGAAGCCTCTCATCAGAGAGAATGACATGGGAGCGTTACGCCAGGGATCCCGCGATCTAGTTTTTGAGGTTCGAAGGTTTCGCAAGACACGAAAGGCCACGACCACAAGAATTGGAATCGGACTTTGACTTCTAATTTAAATTTTTTTATGTCTTTCCTATTTCTCTATTTTTAATTATGTTATTTCTATAAGGGAAACTATTTATATCTTGCTATTTCCTTTTCTTTTCAGAATTTTGACTTTTTTTCTATGCTTTAAAGATTGAATCTCTGATTTCTATCCTAAGGAGTGCCGTATTATTTTCCTTTTGCAAATGGTATGGTTGTGGCTTTTGTAGGAACAAATGGTAAACATCTGTAACATCTATATAACATCGTTTCGTGGGCCTCTTTGGTAATTTTAGCCAGGAAAACCAACGATCAATTTTGAATGTGATGTTCAACAACAAATTCTACTCATATCTCTTCGAAAATTCCTTGATACCCCAAAGTTTCATTTTCTTGCTATTCCACAACCCCTTTCTCGCTAAATCTCTTTCCTAAACACCTTAAAGCAGCCCTAAAATAGGATAAATTTGGTTACGAGTTGTGGGCCAAATGATATGCTACAAGGGTTGTATGGGTTAAGTTTAAGTGAACCCAAAACTTGTTCGTGTTCAACTCATTTGTTTTTTTTATTTTTGTGTTCAACTCGTATTAGAGAAGTTTCCAAAAAACACATTCATGTTCAATTCAAATTTATTCAATTGGCTTGTTTTCGACTCGTGTTTAGCTTGAAACAAATTTAATGAAATTGTTCGTTTAGTTGTCCCCTTTCGACAGCTTCGTTTTCGGCTCCAAAAAAATGCAATCATGCTAATAGGGGATTGTCCACCTTTGACTAATTTTCCCTTATAATGACAAAATTGTTCGTTGAGTTGCCTCCCTGCTCGGACTTCCTATTCGCCTCTTACTAGGGCTGTGAATTTAGCTCGAACATCATTAATCGCTCGAAGATTTATTCAAATTTTGGCTCGGATCAAGATCGGATCTAAATAAATGAGCCGAGCTACGAGACATAATTTTGGATCAAATTTTTTTAGCCTATTTTAAGCCAACCCCATCTCAGCTCGAAATCGGATCATTAAGAGTCCTAGTGTTGTTAGGGTTGTAAATTTAGCCAATATAGCTCAAAGATTGATTTTGGCTCTAATTGAGATAAACGAGTCAGGCTACGAGCCAAAATTTTGAATTGAATTTTTTAGAGCCGATTTTGAGCCCACCCCAACTCGGCTCAAAATCGGATCCTTAACAACCCTACCTCCTACCCTACTTCATCTTAATCTCACACCTACAAAACATTAACGTTGCTAGCAGGTTAAAAATTTTATTATATATATATTTCTTTAAATCACAATTTTCATTCACACTCGTATATCTCACTAACCATTACAAAACCAACGAAATTAGTTTCTTGTTGATGGTGGAGCAGATGTACGTTGAATAAAAAATATATATGTATGTGTGCAACATTCACCCAACTTGTGACCTCTAGCACCACAAAAAAATATCCCCTCATACTATGGCGTCATATGATTAAAATGGATGACCAAGTGGTGCCCCGGAGCAAGTAAAACTAATTAGTTAAAATTAACAATCCTGCTTAAAAATATCACCCCAGACTAAGGTGACATATAGTTGAAAAAGATGCACCAATTGCTGCTATTTAATTAACAAAGAGGACAAAGAGGCAACACACTAAAATGGTGAAAATAAATAAATAAATACGAATTGGGGGTAGCCAACGCCTCCCATCTTTTTCCTCTTAGAAAGCCCCTTCATCTAGTGTCTAGGCTCTTCATATCACCTACTTTTTCTTCTTAATCTAATGTTTATCATTCAATACTTAAATTATGCAACATAATAAGCACATCGACGTTTTTTCACCATGCAATGACGTTTACATCTTATTAGACTATTGCGAGTCCTACTCCTCACACAAGATAAGACTCATCGCACCGGACACTATATATGTCACGCAAACAATCCAAATAAATTTATTTAATAAATGTCAAATAAATATTGTGGAATTCTGAGTTTCCTATTTTAGAGTTATCCACTTTTGATATCTCATATTTTTTCCGTCTCGAGTTATTTTATCTTTGGTAAGTTGTAATTAATGTAATCAAGTTTGCCCCAGTCATTCCTTATTATAAATGGCGAAGAGTTGTAATTTGATTATTAATAAATAAAAAAATATTATTTCTCCAAATTTCTTCATGGTATCAAAGTCCGGTTCGGAGGTTGTTCCCTGATTGAACCCTAGCTCCTCTCGATTTAAACAGATCGTCATCTCCTTCGTATGAGATGTCGAAGATGGTGGCCATGTGTTTTCTTGCCTTCAAGCGACATCATCTACAATGCGAATGCTTTCCTAGATCTCGCCTTTGCTCCGCTGGATCATATCGTTTGAGTCGTTTGCTCATCTGCACCACCCAACTGGTTCTGTCGCTCACCTAGTAAGCCCATAAGGTCCTGTCCAAATCAAACGACGGACCTCATATGCCAGACCTCGTATCACTCATGTCGACTTCTCCAATTGTCCCAAAGGCAGCCATCATCTCAAACCTCCTTGGAATCCTCCCTACATCTAGAGCTCCTACTGCAGGTCTTCCTTTATATTTTTCTATCATCAAAACACTCTCTGAAGCCGGAATTCTTTTGTTGCAGGCCTCCTCCAAAATCCTTTCAATTAGTCTGCACACCCTCCCCTTCAGAGTCCCTCCTCTTCTTCCTTGCACCGAAATTCACTCTAAAGGACCTCCTCTGTTCATTTTTTCCATTTCCATTGGCTTGTCCCTCCAACCCAAATTATCCTAGCTACAGGCCCTGCTCCTCCTCCAACAGAGCACTTCTACAGCAGCAACAGTCGCAACAGCCAATTTTCCTACCTACAAAAAATTCACCTTCCTGCAGCCACCTCTCCCTGCCCAAAATCCTCCTGCTGCAGGTCTCAGTTGTTGACCTTGTTATCGTTGTCGCTGGACCCCAACAACAATAGTCACTGCAGCAACCGCCAAATCTCTTAGCAATCATCAAACCTCTCTACTACAACAGCAGTAGCAGCAGTTGACTCCTCTTTGTAAGAGCCACTCGCCCGACCTTTCTTCCTCTTCAGCAGCTGCGATTAAGTTCCTCTCTATTACGACTACAACCTTAAATACACAGAGTTTATGACCAAATACATTATGAATATGTCAAGCGCCACTTCAAAGGTTAATTTTCCCTTGAGTGAACACTGCAAGAAACTTAGTCATACAAACAAAAAGTGCTGGAAAATAACCAGAAAACTTGTAGAATGGAAACCCGAATAAGGGATGAAAAACCAAGACAATAAAACCTACCTATGCTGAGCTACTACCTCTTCTGACGGGTTGCCCGACCCTAGCCCTTTCACCAGAAAACAGTTGGAGATGTTGAAGAAACACCTTTCAGGCACAATTGGCCTATCTACTGACTTGATTATACACCCAGATATCATGTCCTCCAATCTAGATTCATGTGCTTTTGATTACATATTTAGAAATATTAATGTTTTCACTAACAACCAAGAGTTTATCAAATCCAGATTTGTCAGACTTATCGGTGGATCTCACACCAAGATTGTCCAAAAAGAAATAAAAGTCTCCAAATATATTCAACTCTCTTCTATGTTATATATTTCCCAATCAGATTGTAACTTCCTATCAATTAGCAATCTTGCTCGAGATTTGAACCATGTTACTAAATTCTATTCTCACACTCATAAATTTCAAGTGGTGGACTCAGGGAAGGTGATCTTCATTGTTGAATTGCATCAATGTTTATGTATGCATAAGGAAAGCTATTCTCTCAACATGCAAGTGTCTTCTTCACCATTTTCTCATATTCTTGAGTTTGTTAAGTCTGATCCGGTTGAAAGTCAAGTTCAATTATGATATTGTTGTTTGGGTATCGCAATTTTCATTATGTTGCAAAGTTGTACCCTTGTCTCTTTATTAATAATAAAAAAAATTTATCAGTGTAAATCCTACTTATTAGTTAAACATACTAGTCATGTGTATCCTTTGTCCTAGTACAAACCCTCACCTTCTTTCACTATCATTTACAGTAACATTAGGGGACCATTAAAATTAAAAACCGTCAATGAAGTCAGATGGTTTATCTCCTTTACAAATGACCACACTAAAACCAGTTGGATATGCTTCATGAATAAAAAATATGAAACTGTACAAATCTTTCAATCCTTCCGTCGAAATTCATAATGCAAAGGAATACTTCAATTATATCCTTATACCTTACCTTACAAAAAAATGTATTATCCATGTGAGTTCTAATGTTGAAACTCCATAACAAAATGAGATAGCTGAGAGAAAGAATATACATATTCTTGATATATCAAAATCTGTAATGCTTTCTCACAATATCCCAAAAGTTTTATGGAGAATGTACTCACAGTCTCTACCTCATTAATAGAATGCTAAACAGGGTCCTTAGATTCAAAGCCCTGCTCGATATTATGATGAAAAAATATCTTCATGTCGGAGCCTTCCTATTCTTTCTTCCTCTAAAAATATTTGGCTCTCTTTATTTCACATTCGCCCATCAAATCACACAAAATTTGACCCAAATCAATCAAATGTATCTTAATTGGGTATGTTTCTAGCAAAAAAGAGGCACAAGTGTTATTCTCCCATTACAAAAAAAAATATTATAAATCCATGAATATTACATTCTTTGAAAGCCAACCATATTATCTCAATCTGATATTCAAGAGGAGAGTCCGGAAGAATATCAGACTTGAGGCACTACTATAGATATCCTAACCATCCTGTATCTCAAGTTCCACCAATTGAGAACATCCAATTTGAGAATGACAACAAAAAATTTTGTGTGTATACATAGAGAAAGAAATCCACTAAGCAAGATAAAGACAATGTGCAACCATAAAACTGTTCACAACTAAACCTGAACATCTTCGAAGTTCCAAGGGAGGCGTAATCCAATGGAGAAGACGAGGAAAGTTGCACAAATTACTCATCCAGGATTATGATGCATATGGGAAGTTATCATCAATTTATAAAATTTTTGTATCTAATATTGATAGTGTGCAAATACCCAAGTTTATTTATGAAGTAAGGTCCATAATGAAAAAAATAAAAATTAAAGAGGAGATTCAAACACTTGATCTAAATGACACATAAATTTTTACAAAGCTTTTTTCAACGCCAAGTACAAAACAAATCGGAGCATTGAGAGGTTGAAAGTTAGCTTTCCAGTGAATGGTTTCACTCAGTCTTATGGAACAGACTATGAAGAGATATTTGCTCGTGTCCAAGTCAAACATTGTAAGAGTTCTTTCCTTGGCAGTGAATAAAAAATGAGAACTGCTTCAACTTGATACCAAAAATAGGTTTCATGAAAACCTTGAGTAAGAATTGTATACGAAAATCCCACCACTGGTAGTAAAATAAAGAAAATCATTTTATGACCTCAAACAATCTCCAAGAGCATGGTTTTACAAGTTTGTCAAGACTATGAAGGTACATCCAATGAAAAGAAGTTCAAACAGTATTCATAAAGTATACACAGAGAGGTAAGAATGTGATACACATTATCTATAAAGATGATATGATAGGGAGGTAAGAATATGATACACATCATCTATATAGATGATATGATCCTGACAGGTGATGATGAAAACAAGATTGAGAAGATCAATGAGGCCCTTGCCATTAAATTTCAAATTAAGGATCTAAAAGCGATGAGATAATTTCTGGGCATGGAACTGGTCAGGTCATGTTGAAGAGCCTTTTGATATGTTCTCGAGAGCAAATTTCAAATAAATCCAAAATGTTTAAGAAATAAGTTTTACAAACCTGATGGTCATTGATAGCCTTCAGAAACTCCTCTTTATAAGGATATATGGGCAAACATTTCCTTTCTTCCTGTACATCCAGGCATAAATAAATCAATACAACTTCAACAAAGTTGATAAAACAATCAAAAATGAAGGATTAAAAAGAATGCAATTGCCAAATAAAAATGAAGGATTAAAAAAAACTAGTATTTTTAAAGTAATGCACCTGCAATTTTTGTGACATGGTTTTTGCTGCTGAAGCTTTCGATTGCTCAGCCATGTCTTCTTCAAACTATAAATAAGTTAGAAATAGTCAAGGTTAAAACTAAACTTGTAACTATTATAACAGTCTCTCATATGAAGTAAATCTTAATTTTTGAAGCATAAAACTTATTTTAGTTCACTTGCCTGAGTTCCATCCAAGACCGATGCCTTGATGAAATCAATCCCATCTTCAAACACATATCTACATGTACATTTAAGCAACATTATCTAAAATTCAAGATCGTTCACATCTATTTATATGCTCCTAGAGAAGAAGCGCAAAAGAAAATTACAGATTTGCCAAAAATTAAAATCACATCAAATTTTCATAAGCATATGAATATATATTTATACTAACTGGTAATCATCTGATGATAGCTTTTTATTCTTTGAGCCATATCTTAAAGTAGCCTTCCCTGAAAAAATTCACAAACAAACAAAAGAAAAAAGTCTACTCGCTAAAAGGCAATTACTTAAAGAGAAGGCACAGAATGGAATAAATAACAAACAAATGATACCAATTTGATGCTCCTCCCATGCCTCCTGCTCTGCAAATGGGTTCATCTTATCAGAAGAACCAGAGTCCCTATATAAAATAATTTATGGTAAAAATATTGCACTAACTCCAATAATAACAGTCCTGCCCTATGATTGATGACTAAGGCAGCTGTAGGAAAGATCATACCTATATCTTTGCATAGCTACAGCAAACCTTTTCTCCTGATTTATACCACCCTCTTGATCATACGCATCTGGTAACCTATACTGAAAATTATTTTATTGCAGATGAGCTCACTGAAAAGAACAAAAAGAAAAAAAAAATTGACAAGAGATATATCACAAGAAACTTTTCATGAGCAAGATGACAAATCACCTCCTCAATTTTATCAGCATCATCCAAGTGCTGCTTTGCCAGTTCATAAATCTTTTTCTTGTAACTGCACATAAAAAATATTGTATGAGAAAAAAGTGTGTTCATTCAAGAGCTTATTAAAATCAATTAAAATGAAATATCAGTTCCCTTGAATCTCTGTTTAACTGCTTAAAATGTGCTATAGCTCTAGAAAATGCTCTTAAGAAGATTGGAATTTAAAGTTCGCAACTTATGATGCCAAATGTACAAAACACCAAAGGCAGAATATTGATACTTTACTTGAAATGTAACCAAAAAATATGTACAACAAGAATGAGCATTAAGGGTAAATATCCCCTCATTAGTTAAAGTTTAAATCACAACATCCCTTCATGCTAAATAAACAAAAAAATGAAGATTAGTTCAAATTCATGATATAAAAGTATTCAAGCTCAAAATCACTATTTTATTAGTGGGAATAATACAATAATGCAGTGCTTGCAAATTATAAGATGGTAATGACCTTTCATAGATAACTCTGACCTTTCATAGATAACTCTGTGGGTAAGATAACAAGGTAGTGCCAATAAAAAAACTTTTGTCAATCTTGGTTTAGTGAGTGGTTGAACCATATAGCTTACCATCCATTGTAGAGAGTGGTTCTAAGATTTGAACTTATGACCTCCAAGTTTCAATGGAGGCTAGCCATACATTGTTACTACACAACTCTCTATTTGTAATACTAATGATTAAAACTTGGTCACGTAATATAAAGTTTTTGAAGACTAAGTTGTATATAACCGATTCAAAGATAACTTATATCAAGTAATTATAAAAATATGCAGTATAACCATTATTGCTTATTCTAGAATAAATCAATCTAATAGTATTCAATCAACCAACAGATTTCCTTAGTCCTGATCGCAGGATAGGTAGATGGAGGGAAACCTTAAGCCTTAGTATGACTACAAATTAATATTCAAATGTCAATAATTCAAATGTCAATAAATTCTTTGGAAAGATTAAATTAACTATCTTCTTCTAAAATTCTCACACAATGGAAAATTAAGGTATCCATATGAACAAAGCTATATATTCGCACTTAAGCTTTAAAAAGTAATAATCATATGTAAATGCATCAAATACCTCAGTTCACGCTCCTCAGCATCTGTCAACTTAACACCTTCAAAGATATACTCATGATCAATTATATCATCCCTGTTATTCCAAAAAATATCAAAAATCGGATCTAAAGGTAGAAGCAGCACCAAAGGTAGAAGCAGCGAAGTAGAACCAATTAAGAAAAAGAGCAAATTAAATTGGGACAGCCTCGACCATCAAAGTGACATTTCTTAATGTGTACCTTATTTCAAGAAGTTTCTGATCCTTCCTTTTCTGCAGGTATACTTGCCTTGAAACATTTCTGGGGCACATATATCGCAAGAGATGCAACAAGAAGTTAGATTCTTTCCATAGTAATGAGACTAAGATGCTAGACACAAAAATTCAATCAGCATCTAACATGAAGCATTCTTCAGCCTGGCTTCAATAAAAGTATGACACCCCACTTTCCAATCATCAGAATGAAGGACTCAATTTGGAATAATAATATAGAAAAGTTGTAACAACAGAACTCAATACTTCAAAATTAAGAAAACAAGTTCATCTGCATTTCAAATGACCCATGCATATGCTAAGATGTACAAATATTACTATTCAAGGTTCAGAAAGAAAAAATTGAAATAAAATTAAAAAAAAAAGACTCAAGACTCAATAAATAGTGGAAAGATAAAAACCTTAGATTGGATATATCATTCTCTTCAAGCGCTTTAACTCTTTGCATCATCTCCTCTGTTGGCACAATAAAATAAACAGCAGAGAACAAAGTTACATGAATGTGTATGAAAGTAAGCCAGCGAGTTGCATCACTAAATTATAATCGCTTGGTCATACCTTCCTGTTTCTTTGTTAGTTTTTGTTCTGTAACCTAACAAAAAGAAATGGAAAAATAAATTGATAACTAGAAATTTATCAGAAATACATGAATACAATATCATTTTTCATAGTTCTAACCAGCAAGAAGATATCTAATTTATTTTCATTATAAAAAAAATTATGACATGAATCCTTTAAATCATTGTGTAAATCCAGCGGCGATCACTGAAAGAGACGCATTGTATGACCTAAATAAAGTAAAAAATATGTAAAGGCTGCTACATCGATGCCCAATGTAGTGACAAATAAGCAAGAGTTCTCATCTTATGGACAGATGTAGGCAAAAACTTTAGTACATGAAACTAATAATATGATAAAATTTTGGAAAGTAAGTACTCTCACCGGTAAATTAATGAAATTAGTGGATATCATGCTCATAAGAAGATAAATATCTTATGCATTCAAGAAACTAAATAGGTTGAAGAAAAGACTAAGAAGATTGATAGTTTAGGTTTTAAATTATGGTATTCAGATTGGAGTCGCACTAGATATGGCATAGGTGTAATTATAGATATAAGTTTAAAACATAATGTTCTAAAAACAAATATGGTTGGAGATAGAATTATAGCGCTAAAAATTATTATTGATAGTAAAATTTTTAAAGTTATAAGCATTTATTTAGATTTAGATATAGATTCAAAAGAAAAAAAAATTGGAATGATATAGAAGAATTAATATTAATAACACCCCTTGAAGAAAAAAATTTTATTAAATGAGGTTTAAATGGACATTTTGATAAAGTAGTAGAATTTAGAAATATTATGATTGCTACGACTTTGGAGTGATTAATGAAGAAGGCAAAATCATATTAGATTTTGTTTTAGCTTGTGATTTTGTCCTTTTTCATACTTTATTTAAGAAAAGAAATGAACATATAATTACTTAAAAGAATGGATCTAATAAGATATAATTTGATTATATTCTTAAGAGAAAAAGATATCATCAAGAATGTAAAGATTGTAAGGCCATTCCAAATAAAAATTTAAGAGCTCAACATCAATTATTAGTTCAAAATTTTAAGATGACAAGTTGTAAGACAAAAAAATACAATGAAACATAATCATAGAATTAGATGGCTAAGAAACTAAATGAGTTGAAGAAAATAAATAAGAAGATTGATAGCTTAGATTTTAAATTATGGTATTCAAGTTGAAGTCGCACTAGATATGGTATATGTGTAATTATAGATATAAGTTTAAAACATAATGTTGTAAAAATTAATATAGTTGGAGATAGAATTATAGCCCTAAAAGTTATTATTGATAGTAAGATTTTTAATGTTATAAACATTTACTTAGATTTAGATATAGATTCAAAAAAAAAATGGAATGATATAGAATAATTAATATTACTAACGCACCTTGAAAAAAGAATTTTTATTAGATGAGATTTAAATGAACATGTTAATAGGGTAGTCAAATTATTGAAAGATGGTTGAGGAGTGGAGGAAGAGTATTTTGGTTCTCATTTTTTAAAATAAAGCAGATGCATTAGAGTGTGCAAATTATTGAGAAATTAAGTTAATGTGTCATACAATCAAATTATGAGAGATAGTAATTGAAAATAGATTAAGACGTGACACAAAGATTTCTCAAAATCAGATTGACTTTATGACAGACAAGTCTACTATAGAATCTATACATTTATTGAGAGGTCTGATGGAAGAAGTACAAAAAGAAAGGAGAATCTACATATAATTTTTATTGATTTAAAAAAATTTACGATGAGATTCCAAGAGAACTCCTTTGGAGAGTTCTAGAGAAGAAAGGGATTGATATGACTTATATTCAAATCATTAAAAACATCTATACTAAATCTATTACTTGAGTTTGAACAGGAGGATTGACCAAGTATTTTCCTATTTTTGTTGGATTACATCAGGGATTGAGTTTAAGCCAATATCTTTTTGCTTTAGTTATTGATGCCCTTACTGGACATTTACAAGAGGATAAACCTTGGTCTATGCTTTTCGCTGATGATATCCTTCTTGAGGAGAAGCCTAGAAAGAGTTTAGGAAAAACTTGAACTATAGTGGCCTATTTTGGATTCCAAAGGCATTCGTTAGAGTAGATCTAAAACTGAATACATGGAATGTAATTTTAGTAATAGTAGCTCTAATGGCAGAGTTAAAACTATGAGTGATCAAATCATTAAAAATGTGTGTACTTTTTAGATATTTCGGGTCTATTGTTCAAAGTGATAGTAATATAGATGTGGTGTTATTAGTAGAACTCAATTTAGTTGGTTGAGTGGAAGAATGCATCGGGCCTATCGTGTGATAGAAAAGCATCGCTTGCGATAAGGTTCTAAGAGTCTTTGCAGAGTTCTAGAAAAGAAAGATGCTGATATGACTTATATTCAAGTCATTAAAAATATATATACTAGAGTTGTTACTTATGTTCGAATAAGAGGAGGATTGACCCAGTATTCTCTTATTTTAGTTGGATTGCACAGGGATTGGCTTTAAGCCCATATCTTCTTGGTTTAGTTATGGATGCTCTTACTAGACAATTAGATGAGGATGCATCTTGGTGTATGCTTTTCGTTAATGATATTCGTCTTAAGGATAATATTAGAGAAAGAGTTCAGAATACACTTGAATTATGAAGTTCTACAATATAATATAAAGACTTTCGTTTGAATAGATTTAAAATTGAATGCATGGAATGTAATTTTAGTAGTAGAAGATCTAGTGGCAAAGTTGTAACTATGAGTGATCAAATCATTAAATAGTGTGAGCATTTTAGATATCTTGAGTTTATTGTTCAAAGTGATGGTGATATTAAAGCATATCAAAAAAGCTCCTCATTCGCGAACAACAGTTGCTTGGTTTGTTAAGTAGCCTGTGTTTGATTCATTCGTTAATCGAGCGAGCTAAGCACGAGCATTTTTTCTCAGCTCAATTTATAAATGAGTCGAACACAAAAAAAATTTTGCTAGTTCGTGATTGCTTGTTTTGGATCAAAATAATTAAATAATTAATAATAATATTTATTTATATCATTTTTATATTAATTTTTCATCTTATATTTAAAAAAATACATATAAGAACTTGGGTGGTATGAATGTAAAAAGTAAAATTTAGGGGTTACATATGTAGACAGATTGGAATTGATCGCTGTGTATATAAATACTCAAAAGAAAAAAACAAGCCTAAGCCCAATCCCAACTCACGGTGGGGCTGTCAAAAAAGCTTGTTGTTCGCGAACAGATCGTGTTTGGTTAGTTAAACGGCTCGTGTTCAAATCATTCGTTAAGTAAACGAGCCAAACGCGAATAATTTTTTAAGCTCGAATTATAAACAAGCCAACTACAAACAAAAATAAATTTTATGTTATTAGTAGAATTCAAGTTGGCTGGTTGAAGTAGAGAAATGCATCGAGTTTATTGTATGATAGAAAAATAAAACTTAGATGGCGGTGAGACCTGCAATGATTTATGACACAGAATGTTGGCCTTCAAAAGAGAAGAATAAACTAAGTTAAGTGTTGCTGAGATGAGAATGCTAAGGCTGATGAGTGGAGTGACAAATAGAGACAAAATGTGAAACGATGTATACGTGAAAATGTTGGTGTAGCTCCACAGGCAGACAAGATTAAAGAGAGTCGTTTTAGATGGTTTGGTCACATTAAATGACCCGGTTAAGAGAGTAGATGATTTAGATTCGACTTTTATTAAGAAAGAAAAAGGAAGACTTAAAAAAACTTGGACATATTGTATAAAAAACTATCTTAATTTATTCGAATTAAGGGTTTGTTTGGGGGAGCTATTTGAAGAAGCAATTATTAAGGTGCAACAACAGAAGCTGTTGTTCAAAAAACTGCGGTGGTCATTACATAAAAAAAATTAAAAATTCAAACGACGGTTTTCTAGCAACCACCACACTTAGTAAGATATGACTGCAAAACACAACTTTCAATTGCAACATTTCGAAAAAGCAAGAAAAACACGATTTTTTTAAACAAGAAAAAAGTGTTGTGCGGTACCGTATTGCCACTCCAGATGCACCCTAAATGAAAATATGACACTTAATAGGACACAATGGAGTAAAAGGATTCACGTAGCCGACACTATTAAGTGGGATAAAGACTTGTTGTTGTTGTTGCATAAAAAACACTTAACTTCTAGCACGTTCAAAATCATCTCAATCAAAATATCAGAAACAGATGCTGCATAAAATTACCATTAGACTAACTTTACACAAGTAAGAGGATGTAAAGGAAAAAACATTTTGGAGGTGCACCATTAGTAATATTTATTTTGACAATACAGCATCATTATCTTGAGATAAAAGTGGCAATGGAAGATAAATTGAGAAGAAAAACAGCAACCATAAAAACCAACTGCAAACCGCATGGCAAAAAGAAGTCTGCCTCCACTTATGAGTGTAGGTTGAAAACACAAATGGAGGACAATTTTGCCGGAAAATGTCAATAGGCTAAAACCAAATACGCAAGATAATATCACATTAGAGAAGATTTAAACAAATAGGTTTCAGCATCATAAACAAGAATGAGTAACAAAAAAAACTATGAAAAGAGTATGGCAGAAAGAAACTATTCACCAAGTTAGTGTTTACAATAATGGGAATAAAGTGTTGACGGTGGAGCTCAAATATATAAGGAAGAAGACAGAAGCTAACGTTCATAGTTTTTCCTAAGAGAAAATAAAAAAAAAAACTAGACACTAACTAAGGGGCCGTTTGGCATTATTTTTGTATTTTTTTTTTTTTTTACTTATGTTTCTGAAAACATGTTTGTTTAGTATAATTTTTATATGTTTTATTTTTTGTTTTTAAAAACAAATCACTTTGTTTAAAAATACTCAACACACCAAAAAGATGTTTTGAGTATTTTTAAAAACATATACACAATTACACATGCTTTAAATATAATATAAATAATAAAAAATAAAAAATAGAAAACATAAAGATAAAGTGATCTCAAACGGGACCTAAAGAATTTAACAGGAATAAATAGTAAAAAAGAATCCATATAGTTGAACATGGGACTCTTGGGAAAGGCCATGCTTTTGGAAGGAAATAAAAATTTACAACTAAAACATGGAAAAGGTGAAGGGGCATATAATTGAATTGAATTAGCATTTTCACCGCAAAATAAGTTGCCAAACTTATTGTTTTGGCATTCGAATGGGAGATAAGGATTGCAAGTATCTAAGAACAGAAATGCATGGCTCTTTATGAAATAATTAGAATAATATTTAAGAAGACAGTAAAAAAAACAAAAGAAAACTTCATAAGTTTTAGTGATGCAAAAAATTGTTTATATAACCATATGATAGGTTGTAAACGAGCCGAGCTAGAGCGAGATCAGGCTTGGCTCGTGTTCGGCTCGTTCGAAATTGCTCGTGTTTGAAATTAGCTCGTGAATAGTGTGTTCGTGTCCGGCTCGATTTAAATATCTTTTTCATTTTCGACTTGTGCTCGCCTTGAAATTAGTTTGTTGAAATTAATTGGAAAAAATCGATGTAGAGTGTTGGATTCAAACTTGGACCAACTATATGCAACAAAAGGCACACAACCACATTAATGCACAAGCTGTTATGATTTAAACTTAGATATAGATATATATAATATATTATTATATAAATAATATATATAATATATTATTATATATCTTATTATATATATATTTTTTTTTATTTAGAGAGAAAACAAGCCGAACATGAGCGAACAAAGAATTATTTGTGTTCGACTCATTTACTTAACGAACGAGCCGAATAGTAGCAGTTCACCAACAACGAGTTTTTTTAACAACCCTACATATGGGTAAATTTTTTTTTTTTTTTTTGTGATTTCCAAATAGAGAACTTCTGGATCTCTTGACAAGGAATTAGTTCATTACTTTTGCCGTGTACACACTTCAAATCTCTCAAAAAAGAAGTAAATATTTAACAAAAAAGGCATCAGACTTAAGAAGACATTCAGGAGCAAATAAAATAACCAAAAGAGAATTTTGCGGGAAAGTATTAATAGTGTTAAACATATGCTATATCATCGTATGAAGTTAACAAAGATTTTTTTAAGGCATCCAACTAAAGAAACTTTGGATATTTTACATATAAAGCCCTTTACAAATGTACAGGCAAGACAGTGCATAATAATCACAACCTATCCCCCCATTTTCACGTATTTGGTGTGCTTTTTTATTACATTTGCAACTAAATTTAGCTGCTCAAAGACTAGATAATGCAAACAGATCCAGTGATTTTGTTTCAGCCACAATAACTTTAGGGTTAGCTCTTCATGAAACAGCTTAAAGATTAAGCAAGCGTAGGTTATATGACTTTTAAACAATAAAGAACCCTAAGAAAGAGCTAGTCATAATAGGTTAGTGCATTTATGAAAATAAATCAATGAAAAAAGTAAAAACTAGAGCAGTTTTGTTGCAAACAACGTAGCCCACACAAAAGAGGTTAAAGCCCGAAATACTATAAAAGAAATATATTTGTGTGTAAATTTATATACAAAAAAACACACCAATGATAATTTTTTAATCTACCTTGTGTGTTCTAGCCGCATCTCTTTCTCTCATATTCCTTTCCAACTGCAAACGTTCTTCTTGATCTCGGATCATAGCTTCCTCTGACTTAAAAATGATATTAAAATTAATCATGCTTGTTCAATGATAGGTAAAAAAACATCATAAATTAAAACCTAAAAGATATTAAATGAGAAAGCAATATTTAATAAAAAAATACAATAAAAGAATACAAAACAAATATTAGAGTACATATTATTATTCATAAGCCTTTGTAAGAAAAGCTGATAATTGACGTGAAGTTCCAGTAGTAATTACATTATTTAAAAACCATGATGATCCTTAATATTTATCACATACACTTACAAAACAAGTCTAACACAATATTAAGGCTTCAATTGTCCGTCTAACCCTGAGTAAGAAACATTGATCATCAATCATCCGTAAAAGCCTTAAATGAAAAAAAAAATATAAAAAGCATGATATTGCCCCAAAAACACTTATCACATGAAACTACGAAATAAATTGCAAATAGTAATGAAAGCTTAAAAAGCTAATACCACGACAATCAGCATTTTCCTCAATTTTTTTCCTAAAAAATTTTACATTCTAAATTTTTATGTGAAGTAATTATTTGAAATAATGTGTTCAAACAATGTTTTATACGGGTTTTACATGCATACAACTGAATTCCTATATATTGATTACTCACAATCTCATACCACCACGTCACCACCTTCCTTGCCTTATCAAAACTACCAGTTAAAACTACTTAAAAAAAATTCATACCTCAAGTTCATTATTTTCAGGAGATAAATGACTACGAACATGCCTTGCATTATCCAAATCAATATCCTGTTTTAGAAAAGTCATCAAAAAAATCAGTAACAAGATGGTACTGTTTTACTGACAGTTTACAGTATAGGAAGATCTACATTATGTATTGACATATCTAGCACCTAAACTTTTTTTACATACATTCCACTTTAACTATGCATGAAAAGGCATATTTCATTTTTTAATAGTTAAAATGGTGGTATTTTTAATGTGATATGAATGATTTGGTTGATATAAATGAAAAAAAAATAAAGTTTAGGTGTGAGATAAGTAAATACATAAGAATTGAGTGGTCTGTATGTAAATGCCCAAAAAAAAAGTGACAGAGCCGCACCTCATCATCATCACTTCCATGAGATCTATGATTCTTTCTGAAACGTTTTTTAAGATCACCTCCTTTTTTTGATGCATGTGAAGAATCTCTCATCGAAACTTGGCCATCTCTATCATCCTCATCATCAGCATCCAGTAGCTTGTAACTCCTCTGCTTTTTTGCTAATTGGGCGGCTTCTCTTTCCTCTTTGAGGTAATTCTGGATAAAATTTGATGGCAAACCAACATCAATAGAAAGATCAAGTAAGGAATTTTGCTCTTTATGCAAATTAGTAGCTTAGTTAAGATGTAAGGAAGTAGGAGTGAACCACAAAAGCATTTACCATTTTAAATCACAGTGGAAGAAGATTGAATATTAGAAAATAGACCCTTAACAAGGGGTATTTACATGAGGTGAGCAAAATACTTGCAAATTATTCTAAAAATGCAAGCAGGTTCGAAAAAACAATTTATTTGCAGGTTAGCTTTAAACTTACGCTCTTAGGTCTTGTCTACATCATCTAAGGCCATGTTAGAATTCATTTTTATTTGTCGTTTTTAATTTATAGTATTCAAAATAATGCTTTTAAATAAATAAAACATGTTTTACAACATACTTTCATTTCTTTATTCTGGAAACAAAATGGGTTCTTCCCTAAAATCTTAAAAGATCAAAAATTCCTATAAGGGTTATTTCACAGGATTTGGAAAAAGGTTTTAAGTAGTTGTTCTGATTATTAGATTGATTTGAATGATTAGAGAATAAATATATTAAAATAATTAAGATCAATGAAGTTTTAATGGTGTTTGATCTAGAACAGTGATTGACAATCATTAGAGTAATTAAATTAATTTCTAATTAAATTTATATGACGGCAATATTAGATTAATTAGAAGTTGAAATTATGCTCATCATGTTATTTTATTTCTATCATAAAAATTAAAATAATCGACTAATTAGCAAAATAAAAATTAAATATTCGGATTGAATAGGAATCAATGAGGACTTAATTGTTTTTCTTAGTTTTGCATTCTGATAATTAAGAATAAGATAACAATTAAGTAATAAGTCTAATCAATACTTAACGAATTATAAAGACTAAAAAAATTAGTTAATGTTTAATTAAATCATTAAATCTTATATTATTAATTATTATTATCAAATCAATGATAGTTAATTAGGTTTTAACAAAATCAATTTATTTTGACTAACTCGGGAGTAATTAAAGTTTTATAAATATGTAACTAGAAAATTATGCCTGGAATAATATATTAATCAGTTAAATAATCATAATAATTAATAATTAACAACTTAATATGGTTAACTATGAATTTATTACCATTGAAAGATAATTAAAACTTTAATAATGCTTATATATGATTATTTAAAGCTAATAAATTCAAATGATAATTGAACTTTAGTGACACGGGGCTGGACCGAACGATGTAGGTTTAGCACCAGCCTTTTAATGAGGCAGGAATTACCGACCATTCTACTTCCTGATTTCCTATCTTACTTAGCACACATGAACGGGGTACATAATGTGTTCCACATGTATTTGTTGCGGAATTATATTGCTGATGAGATCAGTAAAGCTTGTTAAAGCTCCCATATATATTCAACATGAGTTGACATTTATGGATGAGCCTGAAAGAATCATATATTTTTTTTAAAGCCAAAAAAGGCTGATATATTAAATAGAAAGAAAGATACAGATACACCATGTGGGAGGGCCCAACCCACACAAAAATCACAAATGGTTCCAAAACTAGAAAAAAATAGAAAAATATATTAGATACTAAAATAAAGAGCATAACAGTGCTGAAATACATAATATCATGTGGCTAGAGAGCGACCCAATTTGGTCTTGCCTCTGCCCCTAGTTCTAGGGTAGGAGCAAGTTAATAAGCTGGTAAGATGATTGTCATTGTCATTAGTAACCAATGTATCATCCAATATGTTCCCGAGCTAGAGTCGGCCTCCATTCTCCTTCTTCCTCCTGGAATAGACATGTCATTCCTCTTCAGAAGAATCAGTCTGATGGGTTGGTAGAAATGAAGCAGAAGGATTACCAACCGTATAACCCACAATAGGTTCTAGTATATGTGAAGTATGAGTTGCCTCTACACCAGATACTTCCTGAAGAAGTGGAGCTATGAGGTTCTTCTGATTATCAGTCTGATTACAAAGAGTCCACTCACAAGAATTACAATTTACTCAAAATTACAACTTACTCAAAAGGAGACATAAAACACACGTAATCCCCAAAAATATAAAAAAGAAAAAAAATAGTGGGTGTAGTTGGTGAATTTACCACTTCACCTTCCCCTGGATCTAGAGAGGGAGTCCAGCAACATACTGAGATGCGGGCTTCCACCCAAAACTACTCTTTCTTCTATTTCTATTGTTTTTTTTTCTGAAACAGTCATCCTGAGAAATACTAAGTTCTAGCATTTCTTTTTTTCTTCTTCCTAGATCTGTAAACCTATCAATCATTTGCCAGAGGTAGTCCCGTCTAATCAATAGGTGGATCTTCGATGGAGAGCTCACCCCGAGGGGTATGTTGATCCGTAAACTGTTGATCTGACTCAACCTGCAGCACACCTTGATCTTGGCGCTCCTCCAAGACATGAGTGTCTCTCGCAATAGATGGTTCCAATGCACTTTGACTAGCATCTGCTACAATAAAATTCGTAGTATTTATGATCTGAGGAAGAGTTAACTCAACAACAATGGCAAAAAGTTGTTGATCTGGTTGGTGAGCAGTAGTTTGATGAGTCAAATTCTCATTCAATATTTCTACAAGATTAACAGTTTCTGCTATATTTTACTCCACAAGAATGATGTTATTAGGACCTATCGATCTCAAATGTGGGCGAAGCCTAAAATATTTGGCAAAATTGTGCCCAAACAGTTTACAGTGATTGCAGTAGTAGAGTCTTTGTTTTGCAACAATTGGTTGTCAATCTGCAACAATTGGCTGTCAATACCCATTGTGGGCAGTATCAAGTCATATTTCATCCACATCAGGGAGGGTGATATCTCTTTCAACAAGGATTCTTGCAACCGAAGGCCTAGATAGGTTGAAGGTAGGTGTATCCAATTTCATAGGTCTCCCTAGAGCAGCTCCAAAAGAATAGAGGACTTAGTGATTGAAGTAATGCAACTTTAGCGCAAGTAGTTTAAACCGTAGTTTAAACCACATTGGAATCACATTGGAATTATAGGTGGTTCTTGGCTAGGGTCAAATTCAGGAGACCACTTAAGCAGTTTCATATATTTCCTATCTATTGTCATAATTTTTTTGGAAAATATTTTAGCATAGTCCTCCACTTAGATAATTGTATCATCACATGTCTCCTATCAAAGAGGTTAACCTTCCAAAGCCCCAAAAGTTTGAGATCTTCAAAAGTCTTTCGAACGATTTCCATTTTAGGATGTTCCGATTGAAATTTACCAATAAGGGTGAATTTGCACTTATTAACCAGGTTGGAAACTTCAACATCATAAAAGAATAGAGCTAGTTTGTCACTTTTCCTACTCGACTTCTTGATGAGGTTGCAGTCCCCCTGGACATCGAATGAATCATAATAAACTTGAGAGAAAACATGATCTGATCCCAAAGAGCCAACCATGTCAACAAAAGAAGTCTTCCCAAAGTTTAAAACTGAAGTAATCGGTGGTTGAGAATGAGTAGAAGCCATGGCACTGGGAGTTGAACAGCGACAAGCAACAGGGACGAACGTCGCTCACGTACGTCAATGCTCAATCACGAGCGATCGAGCAGAAATGGAGGGAGTCAAAGCCGAGTCCACGCGCAAACAGGGCTTCGTGGCAGTGATGAGAGAAACGCGTGAAATCCACGGACGAAAGCGAAGAAGATGATCATAAGACGGCCGAAGAGGTCGGCCAAAAGAACTAAGTCAACGCTGAAGCCGAAAGAAAAATCAAACTCCATCGGTGTGGTGTATTGAAAGTCCTAAAAGGCTAATATATTAAGTAGAAAGAAAGATGCAGATACAAAGTGTGGGAGGGCCTAAACATTGGCACCCTGCCCACTAAAAAACCACAAATAGTTCCAAAACTAGAAAAACCATAAAAATACATTAGATACTTAAATAAAAAGCTAACGGTGTTAAAATACATAGTATCAGGTGGCTAGAGAGCGACCCAATTAGTTCTATGAAAGGAGCAAGCAAGTAAGATGGTAAGATGTTTGTCATTGCCAGAAGTAACAAATGTATCATCCAATATGTTCCCGAGCTGGAGTCTGTTTCCACTATTCTTCTTCCTCCTGGAATAGACCTATCACTCATCTTCTGAAGAATTTGTCTGATGGGGTGGTAGAGCTGAAGCAGGAGGAATACCAACCATAGTACCCACAATAGGTTCTAGCATATGTGAAGTATGAGTTGTCTCTACACCAAATACTTCCTGAAGAAGTGGAGCTGTCTGAACACTTCCATTTGTAGGTAATAGTCCATCAGTAATGTTTTCTATGGGTTTGAAGGTGCCAACATCACATCACTCGCAGTAACAATAACAACAGTGTCATGAGGAGGGTCCTCAGGGACAACAGACACCACCTGTCTGGTAATATCCTCCCCAAGTAGAATTAAAATATCCAGAGCAGTGGGGTTAGACTCATCCTTATTCACTTGAACCTTAGTTTTCAAATTAGGATGGAACTTGTAGCATTTATCAAGGATATGACCAAACATCTTACAGTGAGTACAATATGGGGGTCTGTGTTCAAAGACGATTTGTTGTCAATATCCATTGTGGGTTGTGCCCAGCCAGACTTCAAAAACATCCGGTAAAGTAATATCCCTTTCCACAAATATTCTGGCCACCGGGGGTCTGGTTAGGTTGAAAAGTGGGCAGATCTAACATCAAAGAATCCCCTATGATGACCCCAATAGAATAGAGAACCTGATGGTGAAAAAAAAGCAGCTTAAGACCAGGTAAACTAAATCATACCGGTACAGTGGGAGTTTCATGATTTAGGCGAAATCAGGAAACCACTTGAGTAACTTCATAGCTTTTCCTGCGATATTAAAATATTTCTTGAAGAAAATTCCGGTGTAGTCTTTAATCATTGTTAGTTTGATCAACACATGTCTCACATCCATAAGTCTCACCTTCCACTTGTCTACTGGCTTAAGATCAATCTACGCTCTTTCTGATAACCTCCATAGATGGGTGCCCCCACTAAAATT